CACTCCTTCAAGGGCTCAGCCCTGTCCCTACCCATCGGATTTGAGGTATTTTCCTTTTTATAAAAGCCCTAATCCTAGGCTGGCATCCATTGAGGGATAAATCTAGGGCACAGAAGAAGGTAATTCTACCTGTGACTGGGGCACGAAGCAGGCCTCCTTGGCTTGGAATGTTTCCTAGGAGAGGGTTATTGCTTCATCCCGCTGGGGCTTTTCGGGGAAGACCTGGATGCAGGTTGGCCCTCCGTGGGACAGTTCTACTGACAACTACATCTGCTGTCTTCCCCACAAAGGTCTTGAGAGGGTCCCATTTCCTGTTCTTGTAACTGGGAGAAAACTGTCCTTTCAGTTCGAAGGAAAATGAAATCTGGTTTGGTGGTAGCAGTGGGCTTATTGGTAGAGCGCAACTAAGAGTCCTCTCAATTTTCAAAAAACAAACAAAAAATGTGGAAGGTGAATAGGGAAAGAAAAGGAAGGTTGGGAGCTAAGAGCGAGACCCCCAGGCGGGGCGGAGTTCACCGCGCGGTGAACCTGCTCAGCCGGCCACGCAGCCCTCATCCCCCAGCCTGCGCCCTATTGTCCGCCTTGCCAGCCCTGGGTCGTGACCCAGCCGAAGGCGACACCGAGCCCAGGGGCGCGAGGCATGGAACCCCGAGGAGCAGGGCCGCTGCCTCCCCAACCTCACCTTTGCCCGAGCCGGCCCAATTTGGCCATCCTGGAGACCTCTGCTCTCCAAGAAAAGGAGCAGAGACACCCCCGCCCCCAACACACATACACCGGACAGATGAAAACTGCGGAATTTGCCCCGTTCTTTTGTGCCCCAGCTTCCCAGAAAGCCAGAGGCCGGGAGCCAGAACCTAGGGTTTAGCTCGGCTGTTTTGACAGTGCCTCCTACATGCTCCCTTTCAAGGTTCCTGCCCCCTGGAAATTCACACATACTTTCCTTTCCTAATCTCTGATGTCAGGAATAGAGAGAGTAAAAAATGAGGAACGACTAGGGATGACAGTGGCTTTGGCTTGACCCATATCCCTCAGGCAGGCTGAGCACACCCCAGAAGACTCCATAGGAGAGATCCTGGCAATGGTTGATGGAGACTCGAAATGTAAAACAATCCCTTTCCCTTTATTAGGCTTTATAAACCTATGCACCCTCCAATACACTCTGAGACCTTTCCTACCCAGCCTCATCTTCCCTTTCTCCTGATTCATCCGTGGGCCTGGCAGGAAGGGGAGGCAGGAAGTGGAGCTGCAGAGGCCTTTTTCCCTGTTTGCTACGGTGTGGGTTCCGCAGGAGCAGCTGGCACTGACTTGCAAGAAGCTACAGAGCTGACACCAGAAAGAAGCAGGAACCCCAAGGAGTGGAAGGAGAGCCAGGTCTCAGAAGGGACTCCTGGCTTGGTGGGCGGATGAGCAGACCTCCTCATTGGCTTGAGGCTTCAGCTTGTCTCAGTTCCCCAAGGCTAAAAGGGGATGGAGCTCCCTGCGATGAAAGTTTTAAGGTATCTCAGGGATCCCCACAGATCTCTGGTTTAAATAAGAATCCCACCATGTTTAATTCTCAGGAGGCAGCTAAAACTTGTACACCCGAGCAGCCTCGCACTACAACAGAAAAATAAAAATGGGGCTAGGGATATGGGGTGCAGAAAAAGCAGGCCGAGAGGGGTAGTGTCAGTTCTATCAGAAACACTGGTCAAAGGCAGACTTCCCCCCACCAAATTCCCCCAAATGTTTATTTTGGGCTCCTGCCCATCCAGATAAATCAAGCTAACAGATTAGGAAGTTCATAAAATTGTATTCTTAGGTAATGACATCCAGAGAGGTAATAAATATTCCCTCTGCTCTGGTGGCCGCTAGAGTTGAGGAATCCTCCATCTCTTTTCCCAACCCAGAAGTCCCTTGGAAGGTGAGTATTTGAATTAGAATTAGTTCTGTGAAGGTGAGATGCCTGTAGAAGCTGTGGAAAACCCAGAGAAGTGGTTCTTTGAGGGCAACACTAAGGTCCTTCAGGATTTAGCAAAAAGCCGAGCAAAAGATGCAACTGCCTCAGCACGTTGCTCTTCATCAGGGCGCCCTTGATCTCAGGGGTCTCCTTCAGAGTCAACCTCCCCAAATCCTAGCAGAGAGCACCCTGGCCTCAAGATTTACTATCCACTCTTCCCCCAAACACACACACACACACACGCACACACGCACACGACATCTTTGGAGTTCAATCTGTCAAGTAAATCCACATAGGAAGAAAGCAGACGCAAGACTGCAGAAAAAAAACTTTGTAGGAAACTTCGTACAAACAGCAGCAAGAGACGCTCAGAGAAACGAAGTGCTCTCCTCTTTCCCCTAGTCTGGTTTTTTCTCAGGGCTCTGTCCTTTTCCTTTCTCAGCCAAGTTTCTTCACTCCCCAGGTACTTATCACAGAAACTCCATTTTCCCCAAGCAGATTCTTTCCATCCGCAGTGGGGCTTTCTGACGCTCCTCCCTAACAATCCAGTGGCAGAGACAGTTTCCACTTTTGTGCTCCTCAGCCCAGAGCGAATGAGTGCTAACTACTTACATGCCAAGGGGATTTGGGACCTGTGGGGTCTCCGGGTGCTTGGAGAGAAGGACTTGGAAGACTGGTGTCGCCGTTCACCCCTTCTTCTTTTAAACTTAGCCATTGAAGAGAGAGACACAAAGCTGCGCTAGCAGGCGTTCATGCGCCTTGCTTCTCCCAGGACTCTGGGCAAGAAATCCTCAGTCCTACAAAAGCAGTGGCGTCCTATCTGGAGCCCAGGGCCTGAGCAAGCCTGGCTTGGGAGGGTCGGAGATGGGGGTGGGGGAGAGGTCAGAGGCGCTGCCGAATATAAAGGCAATGGGAGAGAAAATGCTGTGTCCTCCCCGTGAACCTAGGCTGCATCCTCCCCCTCAGCCTTTCTCCACCGTGCTGCTCAACTTCAATAAAAGCCTTCCCAGTGAGGTTGTAGCAGCATCGGGTGCAGCAATGGGGACCAAAACTGCTGGAGCCTGGGGCCCCCCACAACACACCCCTGCCTGGGAACCGGAGCCCATATGGGTGGTCAGGTCCAAGGCAAAGGAGAGCTTTGGGAAAAGTGGAGAAAATTAAACCCACTCGAGAGAAGGCCAGAGGCCAAAATCTTCCAAAATTCAAGTTAAAGGATTTTAATTTTATTTCATTTGTCAAAAATTGTGGATTTCTAATGTTTCCCTTTTGTAGACCAAGACAGAAAGAGGCAGCAGGGACTATGTGTGTGACAAGAGAAAGAAAGCAGAAGCTGGTAAAGGAGGGGAAATAAAGGCCCCAATCTTTGAAAAGCTGACTTTCCTGAGTTAAACAGCATCCTTTAGTAAGTTCAGGAAGAAAATAAATATATGTAGTGATTTCCCCCGCTCCTAGTTCTTATTTCTCCAAATGAGCAAACTTAGGAAGGAACTGTAGATCTCTCCTCACCCTCAACTTCCTTTCCATCTCAGCTTCTTGACGCCTTACAAAGACTCCCTGGTCCAGCTCTCAGACTTTCCTTCTCTTTTCCCAAGCACAGTTAGACCCCCCCTCCCTTTTCCTGTCCAGCGACAATTGCCTCAAGATGATAGGGGCTACAGTCAGATCAGGCCCCTAATTCACTTGATTACATAAAATAACTGCAGATAATTCTTGGCCCTTCTTCCTCACACTGTAGGCAGCATGTTTTGCTGTCTCTAGGGTACCACTGAGGGAGGAGAAAGTAGACCTAAAGGACTAAGTGATTCTTCCAAACACACAAGCACGTTTGTACACACACACACACACACACACACACACACACCCTGCTCCAAATTCCAGTCAGCAAGTAGTTTAAGAAGAAATAAATTTAAAGACACCAAGCAGATTTTCACAACTTGGTCCCACCATGGCCTTTCACTCCAGCATGTGGGCTAGAAGAAAGAGGTAATGCTACGCACCCCAGGTTGTTGCTCCCTCTCCTCCTTCTGATTACCCTCCATTCTGAAATTTGGAGAAACTGCCTGAGAAGAGGTTCACCTCTTCCCGCCGTCTTCTAGCAAATAAGCACAAAACTGAGCAGGCCTAGCTTAGGGCCTGATTTCCAGGACCAGAGTTATTTTGAAGCCTTTGGTTTGCATTAATTCTTCAGTTAGTCTTTTCCCCCTTTTTTCTTCTTAACCACAAGGAAACACACATACATACATACGTACGTACATACATACATACACAAACATACACACATACATACATGTACCAGTCAGAGAGCCTTGCTCAGCTCATCCCCATACCCTGCCAGGACCGAGAAGTTGCAGGAAGAGGAGTGGCCCTTGCTTCTTTCTGAGTTTTTTCTCAACACCTGACTGGCCCATGATAAAATTTGGGAGAAAACAGAAAAGTCCTTCATTATCACCAGGCATCAGCCTTTGAGGCCTACCCCTGGGTAGGGGGCTCTGAAGCCTCTGGCCTCCGCTTCACCTTTTTCCCTAAGTCTAAACAAACAGAGAAGCCAATCCCAACAGGTCACTTTGCTGCTTCGGGATCATAAACTCAAACAGCTCAAAACCTGTAGTTTTCTCAGGAAACTAGATTTACAGGGCATATCGTCCTCAATCACTCATCCCAAAGAAGCCCGAAAAGTTTTCTCCTTCCCACTTCCTAAACTTGCCTTCTAGTCTGCAAAGTGGGCAGCCCTACCTGGCAGAAAGAAGAGAAAAAAGGAGAGAGGAACAAACAAAAAGAAGGGACTGTGTCTAACTACAGAAAAGCCCCTCCCCTTCACGATAAGTACCCCTAGGTCTGGCTTCTCTGCAGACCCAGAAAGAAGAGGACAAGGTAAACCAGCCACAAGCTTCCATATCCTTTATCCCAACCCCCTTGTGGGTTCTTCTAAGGCCACTAGAAAACTGGGAGTTGAGAGTTCTCAGGTTTGTGTGTTTGCTTAGAGTAAACTTAGGCAACTATAGAGAAGGGAGGATGTTACCAGGCCAGGAGCAGGGGGGTGAAAAGAAACCATCAGACATTGAAGTAAAACTAATTCACATCCACTGGTTTATTATTGATCACGGGGCATTTCACACCGACACTAAAATTCTTTATTGCAAGTTTTACAATAATCAAGTAAATTCAGTCCAAAAACACAATAACCATGATGGGGGGTGAGGGGAGATTCTACCTATAGACTGCCTCTCTGAACTGAAAGTTCATTTTGATTTTCTTTTGGCTCCTCAAACTGAACAGCTCTGCTGCGAGGCTCTCCAGATGCATTTAGCTTTGTCTGCTGTCCTCCCCCCTCCTCCCACCCCCCCAATAATACAAAAGAACTTCATAGCTTTGTTCTCCTTAAAATGACTTCCCCCTCACTAACCTCCCCGGGTGCATTTTCAATGCAAAAGGCCCAAGGAAAGAGGGGGAAAGAAGGAAGAGAATGATGAGAATTAGCTTTAAAACCTCCCTTTCCTTTTTTCTTTTCTCATCTCCCCTGAAATTTACCCAAACCAGACCATCGCACCTTGCAATATATAATTTTTCCAGCATTTTTCTTAAAAAATAAATTACCCCCCCCAAATGGCGTTTCAAAAAAACCCAACAGGTACCATGCTAAGACAACATCACATGCTTAAAAGGGTCCTTAACAGTGGAAGGGAGGGAAGGGAAGGGGGCTTGTTTGTTTATCTGTTTTGTCTGTTTGGAATTGACCAGGGAGGAAGCAGGAGGAGGAGAGAAAAGAACCAAAATATATATATATATATTAAATTCTATAAATAAGAGTCAATTTGTGTGTGAGGGGAGGATGGGGCGTGGGGTGGGGGCAGGGGTGTGAGTTATGTTTTATAACCTGGTAATGTCCTCTGCCCGTTGCTGCTCCGGCGGCGTGGCGCTCTGGGAGTGGTCTTCAGAAGTGCCCGGGGTGGCTGCCGAGAGGGTGCTGGGCCCAGCGCCGGCCGGGGGCGCTGACCTGACTTTGGTGTTGGGGAGTCGGTGGTCCTTCTTCCATTTCATGCGACGGTTTTGGAACCAGATTTTGATCTGCCTCTCAGAGAGGCACAGCGAGTGGGCGATCTCGATCCTTCTCCTTCGGGTCAGGTAGCGGTTGTAATGAAACTCTTTCTCTAATTCCAGGACTTGCTGCCGGGTGTAGGCTGTCCTCGAGCGCTTGGGCTCCCCTCCGTTATAATTGGGGTTCACTGGGAGGGGGGGAGGGAAAAGCAAATAATGGGGTTCAGAGGCAGCAGGCTCCCGCCCCCCACCCTCACCCCATCCTCAGCTTTGAGGAACAGGAGGAGGGAGTGGTGGAAATAAAGTCATCAAGCTAAATGGGTTATAAAGAAGTTGAAGGAAGCTGGAGACTTTGTAGTGTAATAAGAGGGGAATCCTCATTGTAACGACACTGAATTATTTATGCGCCCTTAGAAAGCGAGCATAGTTTTCACACATACATAACAGATCGTAGCACATGGCTCGGACTGCCCAGAGTAGCTAAGCCATAAAATTTATGGGGGATGTAATTACCCATTCTCGCTCGTAAATCCAGTTCAATTGTGCTAACCCAGAGTCGCTCCTGGAGAGAGAGAGGGGGAAGGAGAGAAAGGAGGACCGGGCCGGAGGGGGCCGGGGAGGGTGGGGAGCGCCGGGGAAGAGGGGAGGGAGGGGGAGCAAAAAGCAAAGTTGCCTACCCGTGCTAACGTGAATTTTTTTCATCCATGGGTAGACTATGGGTTGCTTGCTGGCGGCGCTGGAGGGATGGTCTGGGGCTGGCTGGCTGCAGGCTGGCGGGGCTGGGGACGGGGAAGCAGAGGCGCCTGAGAGAGGCGCCGGCTCGCAGAGCGGCTGCGATTTCTCGGGGTGGTGGTGGCCCGCCTGGGCCGGCCCGTGGCCTCGCGAATTGCCCGGCCCCTGGAGACTGGTGCAGCTATACTGGCGCTCAGGGTAGCTAGGGCGCGGAGGCGGTGGTGGGTACAGCTCCTGGTGATGATGCTGGAATCCCGATTCCCTGGTCCGGCCGTAATATTCCGGACTGTGTTCAGGGATGTAGCTATTTTGCGAATATTCTTCGCATGGAGGAAATTTCGGATCGATGTAGTTAGAGTCCATCAAATACGAGCTCATGATCATTAATTTCTGGAGTGGAAAATAATTTTTCTCTCTTTGTCGTTTTTCTGCTCCATAAAGCCCTCCTACTAGCTAGCGACCCTGTAAAGTTACTTTCACCATGTGACTCCGCCGGCCAATCACACGGAGCAACCCAGTCCCCGGATAAGGAACCGAATCGCTTTATTCAAAATGTATCCAATTTTGTGTGTGTGTGGTGGTGCTGCTGCTGGGGGGAGATGACGGGGGCATGGCTGGCAGGGGCTGGGGTGCCCCCCGGTGCACACCCCGCCAAACTGACAACCCTCCCCTGCGAGAGGAGATGGGAAGCTCCCAGCTTCCCCTTCCAAAGCCTGGGCACCGGGGGGCTGTCGGAAGTCTGTGCTTCAGCCCCCCCCCAGGGTCTCCTCTTCGGACTCCAGTGGGCCCGGATGGCCTTGGCTCCAGAGCTTTCCCAGTGGTCTCCATTCATGGCGATCCTGTTTCAGTCTGCATAGGTCACTGGGCAGCGCCCCTCTTTCGCAGGAAGAGGAAGTTGAATGAGGACTGGAGTGGAGGTTGGATGGGGAGGGGCCCCAGCTGAGCCGAGGAGGCTAGAGAGCCTGGGGTGCCCCCCATCCAAGGATCCCAAAGTCCAGCCCCCCTGTCCCCTACACACTCACCCAACCCTCTGGCCATGGGGCAGGCAAGGCAGGGTCCCAGCTGGACCGGGCAGGTAGAGGCAGCAGGATGCAAATGATTCTGACGTCATTTCTGGAGGTCTAGGGGTTGAGCCCCCGCTGAAGAGAGACAGGAAGTGGTTGGCAAAGCAGAGCTTAGAAGTCTTGCCCTCCCCTCTACCCACCGGCCCTCCCTGTCCCATCCCCAAAGCAGAGGATCTCTTCTACTGTTGGCTCCGGTTTCCATTCTCCATGCTGCCTGGCCTGCTGGTTTCTGACAAGGACCTCCCAGACTGGCTCGTAGGGAATTCTGGCAAAGAGGACAGCTCTCTGTCCTGAGTCAGTGCCTTGTGATGTTGCCCAGGCAAGACCTTGGGAGTCCTCCTCTCCCCATCCTCACAGCGGGTGGACCCCGCGGAGAGGAAGGCCTGCCTGGGTACAGCCGCTTGCTTAAGGCCAGATTCTGTATCCATGTAACACGTGTGTTTACATGTAAACACGTACTCCCAAGGGCCAGCTCCAGGCTGTCTTCCAAAAAGGAGGGGTGAGGTCACAAGCTGGGGAGGCAGGGAGGCCTTGGGGGTCTGCAGTGCCTTACTATCTCTCCCCTCCCTCTGCAACCCATTCACAGGCAAACCCTGATGTGGGGGTGTCGGGAATGAGGGGGGTACAGAAGGACTGTTTTCCCAGTCCCCCTCCCTCAGCAAGGGTGGCCACGTCATGCTACCAATTCCAATTAACTGATCTCTCATAACTCAGAGTTGGGGAGGGTAGCAGAAGGGAAAGCCCAGGGAGGGAGCCGGGTCCCCTTGTTGTACTTGATAACAATTATAGTTTAAAATCATAGCTTGCCGGGGCTCGGCTATATTTTACTTGATAACAATAAAAGTGACACATAAAGTTAACTGTTTATGTTTTATTTATTAGACTAAATCTGCCAGCGGTGGTAGGAGCGCTTGCCTCGTCGCTACAGCTTTTATAGGGCTGTAAAACGTCATAAATCAGTCTCGCGGAATCGCCCGCACTCTTTGTGTCGGCGGCGGCGCAGGGCTGGCGGCCGCTGGCTGCCTGCTCCCTCCTTTCCACGAAAAGTCGTAATGTGATTTTTTTCCCTCTGATTTTATTATTATGATCGCCGCCGTGATTAGTCAATCTACCTTTAATTCGCCGCCCTACGCTGCCTCCTCCCAGCCCAGCCTGGTTGACACTTGAATAAGTACCTTTTAAAACGGCATAACAACTATTTGAGGGTTTAATTAGAACATCTGCAATTAAGGGAATGAGGAGGGGAAAGGGAAAAAATAAAACCCTTGTGAGAAGGAGACTGAAAGCAGGAGATTCCCACCCTTCTCTTACTACCTTTGGGGTATGGAAGTGGGTCCCCACCAAATTAGTGCTCACCCTGAGGGCTGGAAGAACACTGAACCTGGGCCAGGGGTGATGCCCACGGAGATCAAGTCTCCACCTGCAACCCTGCCTGCCTTTCCTGCTCCAATGCTGAAACTTCTACCCCAGCCTAGGTGCACTAGGGCCACCGCTTGGCGGACAGGGCCCTGTTCCGCTCTCAGGACCTCCAGCGGGTGAGGAACAGGGATCCCCTGGAGTCAACCATCTTTTATAGGAGATCCCCAAACTCCTAGAGTTGCTGAAGAACCCTCGCCCACTTGGACCTGGACCCCCTTGGTGTGAGACTGGCTGTTTGGTGGGATGAGGAACTTGTCCCTGTGAGTGAGGGGGGGGCAGCTGTTTGGCTGATGGTGGTAAGGAGTCCCCTGAAGGTTTTTGTTTTTGTTTTTGTAATGGTTGGTGAGGGTGGGTTAATGACAAGTTGCTTGGAGAGGGCAGAAGGAAACCAGTACTGAATCCTGAACTACAGAAGTCTCAACGGTGGCCCCAGACTGTCCCATGGGGCGGCCCAAATCTCCAGAGAACTTTGGTTAAAGTGAGGGTGGGGTTGGTAGAGGGGATAAAACTCTTGCAGGCCCACCCCCAGTCTCCCTTCTGTGCCATGCACCTGGCTTTGGCTGGCTCACCCTAGCCCCGCTGAGAATATTCTCTTCCACACCTGGGAAGGTGGGCTATCTACCTAGCTCTCCTCCTAGCCTTTACACCCCCCTTTACCAACCCTGCTCCCTACCTAAACACTCTTCTTTAATCTGCACCTCCTGGACTTGTTAAGTTACCTTCCCAAGACACTGCCCATCACACCACTCCCCACCCCAGGTTTTTGAGCTCCTGCAGGTGGGTTGAAAATACCTTCCTGGGCCAGTATAAGTGAGTAGACACAGAGGGTTCAGCTGCCTCCCACTGAATGTCAAGTCTGGCTTTGACTACTAGGGTTAACAAATATATATGCATACATGCCATTAATATTTATTAAAATATTAAATGCTCCTTATACAGCTATAAACATGTGGAGTTCTTATTCCAGGCTAATTCAAAATGAATATAGTGACGCCTAGGAGATTCCCCCAAATGTGTCCACACTCATTTACATCATTTACCAAAAAAAAAAAAAAAAAAACCCAAAACAAAAAACTAAAAAGGAAAACTCTCTCTGGGCTCCTATAGCTTAAAAACAAGGAAGTTGCCTGTCACATGGATAAAATACCTCGCCGCACATATACATGCAAACATTTTTACCTGGATATTATTATAAGCACAGAAGTAAAATCCTTGCAGAGGGCTCTTGCACTTAGCAATGGCTTACTTGAGTTGGGGAGGGGTACTAAAGCGGCTCTGCTTGTGATGAATCCTTGTATCTGGTCCTGTCTTCTTTTGTGCGTTCCCCTCCTGCCTTGCCAGCCCAAGGACTTCCACCTCTGCTCTGTCCTTCACCTCGCTCTGCCCAATTTTATTTTATATTTTTTCTGACCACCTTTTCCTGCATCCAAATGCTCTCCGAATGCCGCCCCACACCCCACCTCCTTCTAAATCTCGATCTGGTTTCTCTTTCGGAAACATGTTTCAGTACAAAGCGCTTCCCTTCTGACACCACTGAAGAAAAATATGTGTCCATTGTGTGTGAGGCCTTATTGTGCCCAGATTACCATACTGACCGTTGGATAACCCATATTCCCCCCCTCCCCAGTAACAAGCTGCTGGCTGAGATCTCAGCGGCTCCACAGATTCCGTGCTGCATTAAAATCTCACCTCTCACTCCCTGGATTTTCTAAGGGAAAAAAATAAATGGGAAAACCAATTTAGGATTTGAAGAGCACAGGGAAGGAAAATAAGGATTGTTCCAATCCCCAAGTGCTGGATTTTTTTTTCTATATGCATGTGTATGTTTTATGTTGTTGTTATTGTTGTTGTTTTAGGGATTAAAATTGCAGTGTATCTCCTTTTTTTCCTCAAATAAATGGACTCTTAGATGGTATGTAATCAGGCAATTCATTTCATTTTGATTTTTTCCTCCCCCAGGCAACTTGAAAACCCCAAACTGAAATAATACTCTCATACCATCTCTTCTTTTGTGTACGTATGTGTGTGTGAACGTAGATATATGTGTGTTTTTGTCCCTTTCTAATGCCAGCAGGCAGGGCTAATGTATGCAAAAGAATATGCAAATGCTTAATTGATTTTTTCTTAAATCTCTTGTCAGTAAAAGTAATGAATTGGTCTAAAATGATTTTAATAACCCGGACGTGTCACCAGAAAATACTCAACCCTTTTTTTTTCCCCTCCTGAAATCGCTTATAGTCTCAAAAAAAGCAATCATGGAATGTTAATTTGCCCCCCTTTAAAATATTAAAGATGAATTTCTCTTGTTTGTTCGGAGACCATAGGCAAGGTCCGCTTGTGGATTTCCCCCGCCTTGCCTTGTCTTCCTTGGAATTCAATTTTCCTCAAATCTTGTTTAAAGTGGCTTTTTAAAAAGTGGCCGCATTTTAATATTGGTTAGACAGAGTGACCTGCATTTCACCTCGGGTGTTTGACTTGTTCCAATAGGTCACTGCCATGGGGTTATTGATGGGGAAACTCCATTGAAATTTGTCTCTTCGCAAATGGCCTTTAGATCTTCCAGCGAGTTCAATAACTAGTTATAATGTGGAAGGGGAAAAATGAAGGCCCTGGGCTAACGAATTTGATGTTTCATTTTTATGCTGGAGAAATTGTTAGTTAGACATTGGGTTCCCCACCCCCTTCTTTGCTCATCCCAGTCTCATTGCCCCAAACCTTCCCATCCAGTGCTGCTGGATTATTATCCCTTTTAAAACTTGGATTGGGGTGTCCCCTTCTTTCTTTGACACAAGCTTTACTTCTTCTTATGAATACTGCTGTCGCTGAAAATTCTGACATGTGGATGCTGGAAGTTGGCTGTGCTAGAGGTTTGCAACCTGAACTTTCTTTTCAAGAGGAAGATTTTTTTTACTTTTAAAGGAGTTTTAATATGACTTAAGATATCTAGAAATTCTGCTGGCCTTAAGTTTATGGAGGGCTTCCTGGCCTATGCTCCCAGGATTGAGGAGAGGAAAGGAGACTGCAAATACTTGAGGGTCAATGAGGGTCGCTGAGTGCCCTAATCAGTTCTTGGCCTGTGCGCTGCCAGAAACCCATGGAATTAGGCACCCATCACCAAGGAAAGCAGAGGTTGAGAAAGGCTAAGGGGAGAGGGAAAATTCCACGGAGCAGGGAAGGGAAGCCTGGGTCCCCTGTAGGGTCAGGGTCAGAATACAGGAGAATGGGTTGGGCAGTCACTTGCCTAACTCTGAACTCTGCTCCTTCACAAGGGCTCTTCCCAGAAGCTCAGTGTCCTACAACTGCCTCTTAGTAAACTGGAGGGAGCGGAGGAAAACGATGGGGAGTAATGGAGATGCCCTAAGTGCCCTCCTTTTCTGGAGTTCTTCAAGGAGTGGGAAAAGAAGAGCCAAAGGAAGGGGGAAGGATATTTATTTTATCCTCCCCAGCCACAGCCAAGCTGGGGAGCCCTGGACTTCTCCAGAGAAGTCTGTGAGAAGACACTGCAGCGCGCAGTCTCTGAGGGCTGACCCAGCTATACCAGATCATTACCACTGTTAACCTCAGTAATAACAAAAACACCTTCCACTGACGGAAGACAGCGACTGAGCGCCTTATTTTCTCTTCTTGGAGCTGGTGCCTTCTCCTTCCCTGCCTGC